CATGTTATAATTCGTGTTCATTCTAGAATGAAAAAGGCATAATTTAGGTTTATTTCCTAATTTTTTATGGTGGTTGCGAGATCATTAAAATCTACCAAACCCATACAGAGATTAATTACTGAAAATAACAGTTAAAATATAAAGTTTTTCTTAAGAAATGTTTGATAACTATCCAGACATTATAAATATTTAGGATATGAAATTTCAAAATTTTCTGATGCATAAAAGTATTTTTGATCTTAAAATGAAAATTACTTTGCATGATAGATAGGCCAAATTTCATTAACATTCACTTACTAATGCCAAAGTTATAGCATGAAAACTATAACAAGCACAAGATGGTTACGAGTTCGTCACACTGACTGACCCCTAATCAAAGAGTTAAGTTAGATGAGGTTAGAGTAGGTAAAGAAAAAATAATAATAAAAATTATTCATGAGGTATAAACTATAAAAGTATGCTTTGCCTGAATAATATCTATGTTACAATAAGTAATTTACATTAAATTTTGTACTCTTTCGAGGTGTGGTAAAAAAATTAGGGAAGATATAGAGAGCAAATGTCACAATTCTCATACTAGATTAGACTGATGATTTTCTAAAATATTTCCTCATAAAATTAAACTTAAAACAATGTAATATTAAAATTTAATTTATTACCTACTTTTTGATGCCAAGTTTATTAGTATACTTTGATAATCAAGTAGTTAATTGAATTTTGTTTATAACTGTGTAACAGGACGTGACATGCACACTTCATCCTATCCATTACAAAACAGTTAAAGAGAGTCTAATAATATAGTTTTAAGCTTCACTGCATTTCTTTAAATACAAATATCATAAATTGTATGATAAAATTAAAAATTCTCTGATGTGTTAGTTCATTTTTTATATATCTACTTAATAATTAATTAGTATTTTCAAAAAAGGAATGTAAAATTAAAAAAAATTTTGAAATTTCTAATTTAATATTGTTAAAATAATTTGTGTTTTTCATAAGTGTAATAAACAGCACTGTTTATCAATGAGTTAATCCAAATTCAATAAATAACACAAAATAAATAGAAGACATATGCAGGGTATTTAAAATTAAGTTCAACTTTTTTTATAAATGCTTTCTTAAGAAATAATTTAGACAGAGCTCCATGAATTTAACTGGCAATTAGGAAAAATATTCACAGTAACAAGAATAAAATAGTGTAAATCATATAACTGAAACAAACATAAAATGCTAAGATATTAATAATTTCTAAATATAAAAGCTTATAAAAATTAACAGAAAAGAATATTTTACATTATATTTCTACTGAGAAGTATTTGTCAGATAAAAGAATTTGTTTTAGGCTATTTTTGGCCAATATGTCTTTATAATTTATATAATTAGTATGATTTAATGCCTTTAAAGTTTCTAGATCCCATATTAAATCTGATGCACTACTTCTTATGCATAGCTGTTTTTATCTGTATTATGGAAAACAAGGAGTATGTTGTAGGTTAAACCACCAAAGACAACAAAGTGTAAATCCCAAATATATATATATTCTAATACATACTGTTGTTCATACAACATTTTAGGCAATGTCCTTCATCAGATATCTGTTGATGAACAGTAAAACTATAAACAAAAACATTCTATTTTAGAGGTCATGTGACAGTAAAAAGCGAACATGTATAACAATGTTTGGTAAAAGTAATTGGAAGATTAGTTAACACAAGTAATAAGTAAAACAATAATGAAAAAATACTAATAATTAATGAAATACATAAATCAAGAATCTTTCAGATATTAAAACCAAAGGATGGAAATATTACAAATAGTTAAAATGCTCATTTATCCCATTAGGGTGGATAGTTCCCAGGTGAAAAATACTTTTGTTGTCTTGTAGTTCACGGTTATGTTTGTTCGTAGGGGCCTTTTACAAAATAAGTATTTTTAAAATGTTCAAGGGTATGGTTGGGCAAATTAAAGTGTCAAGCTACTGGTTTATCTGCATTACAATGTATGTCCGAGTTGTTCTTGGGTATGTTCTGCTAATAATCTACTGGTTTCTCTTATGTATAATTTTCCACATGTGCATGCAACAGAATATATGATGCATTTTGATGTGCAGTTACATTGATCCTTACATTAAAAACTTGACTTATGACCCTGCATGAATGTTCTTGGTTCAATGTAGGCACGTGTTTCAGCATGTTCTTTTACAAGGATAGCTACCTAAAGTAATATTTGTGTTTGTCTTGTATTCTATTGTTTATTTCTTCTTTTCTTTTATTCTTTTTTTGTTGTGTGTGAGCAACCACCTTCCCACATTTGGCTGCAAAAGATGTGGGATGTTGTGGGCTAGAATACCCACATCTGCTCCATTTTTTTTCTGAAGCATGCGAGGCCAGCGATATTGAGGTTAAACTGCAATTTTGGTCTTACTTCCACCAGTACTTCAAGAAACCAGGGCACATTACCTTATGATTTGTGACCTGATGTTGGATGTTTGTATTGTGGCTGTGATTTAATTTTTTTTTTTTGTTCCCTTAAAGTTACATTTAGTTTTATAGATAGATAGATATGTAAGTATAACTTTATAATTTTATATCATATAGTTTCAAGCATTTGTAAACATTCTCACAAAAGTTCATTTGTTATAGTGTCACACAACCTTCTAAATAGAAATTTTTGGTTTATAGATTTACTGTTCAGCCTACAGATACACAAAGAAAAGCAGTGCCCAAAACATTGCATCAGCAACAATATATTAAAATACATATATATCTGTAATTAACACCTTGTTGTCTTCAGTGGTTTAACGTACAACATACTCCTTGTTGTTCTCTTTCAGCAACCACCACATGTAATTTTTTACACAGTTTTACCTGTGTTATGAAGTTATGAACAATCTAACATTTACAAAGATGCAAAATTTTCTAGGTGTAAAACATATCAGAACTTAAAAACAAACACAAGGATTAAAAAGTAACATTATCATCAATAGAAAAAAAACATATACACCTGCATGTATTTTTAGTTATCATCCTCAGGTAATTATAATGTCAACAAAAGGATAACAAGTAGTTTATACTTCTCATTTAAATAAACAAATATTCTAAAAATATATTATGTTTAAATATCTAGTTATCCTGTTTCTTAAAGTATTCTTCATTAACAAATTAAATAACAGACTCATAGTTGTTATACTGTTAAAATACTAACAGCCCATTCCCTGATCAATTCCTCCCACTGGGTAAGGTTTGACAGGACGTGAAGATACTGGTCCCAGAGTTCGGTGGAGATTACTACTTGAAGACTAGCTTTAATCCAGGTCACTATCAGAGTCTAAAGATAAAGGTATAAGCAAAAAACAACATGGAGAAAACTGTTGGGATAACAGCATCTTATATTTCAATTAATTATTTTGATAAAAATATCTCATTCTGTTATTTGTGTTACTGGAAATGAACATTTTTTTCAGCTTAATATAAATGTAATAAACTACAAACTATAATTTTTGAGTAGCTCATCATTTCTTCAAAATTTAACATAACCTGAAAAACTGAATCCTGTTCATGACTTTTAAAACTACAATTTCCTGAGATTTCATAGAGTAATAACTCATCTTGAACTAAAGAACATAATCTCCAAGATAAGCATTAATAAACAAGTTAGATTTCATCATTAGTCAAAAATGTTGACTAAACTTAAAATTTTATCACTAAGTATGCATTTCTTTTTCTCTTCTTCATTATAAACTAATATAATCCCGATCCTTTCCAATACACTACAGAAATATGTCCAATGCTCACTGGGCATGTCTAGGCTAACTTTATATAATTACTAGTATGTTTAGCACTGTTTCCATTTCTAGTAAAAAAACCTATATTCTATCTAATTGACTTTGAAAACTAGTTAATTTCTGGAAACTTTAAACAACATTACAACCAACTAACTACTACAAATGTACCAAAAAAAGAAAATTATAATATCAGAGTTACATCCTTTTTATCTAATTAGAAGCCACAAATTTAAGTTATTGTATTATTTTCTATTCAATGAGTGAAATTAAAACTTGTATCAAGAAACACTGAAATGTAATATGATAATAAGGACTTATAAACAATATTAGAAACAAACAATACCCAAGTAAGTTTATTAATTACTAAATAAAATATGGTTTATACAAAAGATTAAATAAAAATAACTCGTATACATTATTTTTATTTAATTCTATAGTAAAAATATGGAAGTATACGTACTAAGCTCACAAACTACAACTATACAGTCTTATATAGATATCCTTCTTTATCAAAATTTGTAGAAAATTTTTTTGCACTAAAAATAATTTACCTTTCTTCATAAGTCTATACAAATTAATAGTAAATAAATTACTGTGTCGACTAAAAAAGAAAGTGTCGAATGGCTCGGCCACTCCTAGATGTTCTTCCACTAGAAGTAGGGCACACATCCTATTTCTCTTGGTGGTAAATTTGTCACAGCAATCATACTAAAGAAGCCATGCATGGAAATTCTACCACCACTACATTATTCATAGCAGTTTGACAATAATTATTTCTTACTTACTCTTAATGAACATTATCTTATGATTATATTAATGTAGCATATGTAATAAAGTGCAATTTAGTCTAATTATAAAGAGGTTGTTTAATCACAGCATGAACAGTGTGCACCTTTCTAGTCTTGAGTGCAACACCTTAATATCGTATTTCAAAATATAAGTAGAAAACTAAAATTATAACAGCCCTTCATTTTCACCCATTTATGATGACATAATATGTGAACTGAACAATTATTAATGAAGCTCACCTTTGAAAATAACTAAAGCCAATGACTCAAAACAACTGGAAAGTAGAGAATCTAATCTATCTATGTCAATACAGTTTGACTTTTTTTTTAGAACTTTTAGGCAAAGCTACATAAGGACTATGTGTTAATAACATCATAATATAATTTTGAACTCATAAACATGAAGGAAGGCAGCCAACTATTGGGCTACTCTTGACTGAATAGTGAGATTTAAGCACCACTTTTATAGCAAACCCATGATTACAAAGTACAGAGTGCATTTTTGCAGCAGTGTGACACAAATCACAAATTACTGGGCTCACAGTCTGGGCACAATAACCATCTAACATAAATTTAAAAGTAAATAAAGTGCTTGTAGCAGAAATTTGTATTTTTACCAACATACTGCCTATCCAAAAATCCTGTAGAAATAAGCAAAAGGATCCTAATTAAAAGTCTGCAACACTCAGGAGCAAACTACAGATCTAGGAATCTTTTTTTATAGTTTCTTTCAAATTTTTCTTTTGCTGATAATGTTTTTGTGTTAAATTACATATCTGCTTGAAAGCTCCAGGAAATTTATTCTATGACAAGGTGTCAGCAAGTTCAGTTAGGTTTAGTAAGTGAAGTAAGTGATGGACAGCTACTGAAATGATTCAAATCCTTTTTTATTATTATTGATTATTATTGTTAACTTCTTTTTGAATCCAAAAAACATATACAAATAACAAATCTTACAATTCATTGGAAAGAAAGTATTGTGCTTATACTTAAATCAATCTTGATCAAGAATAATGTTGGCAAAAATCATATCTAGCCTAATAAACGTAATGGTGATACTGTTTTAAAAGGTAAAGCCCTAGGTCACTGAAAAATCAGGTTTTGCTATGTTTGTTAATGATTTACAGCTGGAATTCATAACTGCTTCAGTTAGCAAAATAAATTATTGAAATATTTCTGTTAAAGAACATAAAACCAATTAAACTGATTGGATGTGTAAAATATATCTTTTTTAACACTTACAAAAAAATTAAATTTTAAATCTAAGGTGAAAGAAGTTTGTTTGTTTTTTATTAAAAGGTGTCTCACAACAAAATTTGGGGAATTTCATATCCTAATAAATGATAGAAACACAAAATCAAATTACGTGAATTTATCTAAGCATAATCTAGATATTTCATAGAAAATTTGTACTAAGTTTCATGTAAATTAGTTAAGTATTTCCGGTCCAGACAAGGTTAAGAACTAGTCAAGCTTGGCATTTAACACAAGTTTTGACATATTATTAAGGATATTTTGACTTCCTAATTAATATCATTCAACTGAGTTTGGTTTGTTTAGAATTTCATGTAAAGCTACTCCAGGGCTACTTAGGCTAGTTGTCTCTCATTTAGCAGTGACAGACTAGAGGGAAGACAGCTAGTCAACACTACCCACTACAAACTTTTGGGCAAATCTTTTTATCAACAAAAAGTGGGATTGTCCATCACACTGTGATGTCCCACAGCTAAAAGGACAAGCAAGTTTGATGATGAGGATTCAAACCCACAACCCATAGATATTTAAGTGAGTTAAAATGGAAATTCTTCCACAAATAATAAGAGTGAATAATTATAATAAAAATGAATTTTCAGAGATAAAAAAGAATATGTATACCTGAAAAAGAGCAGGAGCAAGCCTGCCACCCAAAGTGTCTTCTTTCTTTACTGGAAGGGTTTCTTTCAAGACAGAAGATGTAATCTGAAGCAACGTTAACAAGAGCTGTTCCCTATATAAAATCATTTACATATTGAAGTTCAAACAGATATAAATAATAAAAGTTGTATCTTACATATAATACTAGTAACAACTTAGTATCAGCAACATATCATCTTAACATTATTCAAAAAAGCATAGTCTGTACACAGCAAAATTAAATACAAGATAAAAAAGCATAGACGAAGATAAATGTTATATCCCAGAATTATACAACAAATAACACATTAGCTTCATGAAACCTGAGTGTGTCAAATCATCACATCTGTTGCATAATTTGTTTTATTGCATTATGAACAAAAAATTATATTTGAAATAGGCTGACACTTCAGAACTTTCTACATATAATGTAAGTATGATACTTTTATATGTGATATTTGTATATCTTCATAGCTTATAAATTTTTAAAAATTGATAGATTCTTGCATCTTTCTTCCAAATACTATGTTTTGGCCAATAGGGCAATAACTCAATTTATACCTGATTGGCTGCTGAACACACACATCACATCTCCAAGCCAACAAGGCAAAGATTTAAACTTATTGTTACTAAAGCCACTCTCATATTGTTGTGATAATTAACAATACTGTATATCTCATGGTTTTCCCACACAATTGCATTCCATTATTTTTAAACATTTTCTTAATTCACTGCTGCAGTTCAACCTAACAAACAACTTTTAAAAGAACTAGACACTTTGCGAGCAAAAAAAAAACCTTTAGAGCTCAACCTGGTGTTCAGTTGATTGGTTGTTTGGGGGTTACTGCCGCAAAGCTATGGGGTTTATCAGTGCCAAACAACTGGTAAAAAATAACAATGTAAAATACTACAAAGACTAAAAGGAAAACAAGCTAAAAACCAAACAATGCCCAAAAAAATTGGTAAAAAACTTAAATATAATAAAAAAGGCTAATACCCCATAAAAATTGAAAAACACAAGTTGAACAGTGTCATAATTGCCAATGACACCTTCCATCATCAGGGGAAAACCCATAGAAAGTACATGTCAAAATGGTGCTGCCAGTCATAGTCATAACAACAGCACAACAGTAAAACGTAGGTTATTGTGACTTGAGTGTCACAAAGGCCACACATTGATGAATCAGTTCCAGATAAAAGAAAATGATGCATTAAAAACTGTGACCAATGCATAACCTTGCAAAGATAACTTCCTCCTTTCGATCCTTACAGAAACAAGACAGCCAAAGAACAACAGAAGGTTTGATCTGGAAAAGTTTGTTATGACATTGCTCACTCCATGTCGACTGCCAACTGGCACAATGCCAAGCCTTGAACAAAGGACTGTAGTCCATATATGGGACAGGCACAGCTGTGACTGCACCAGAGCAGACAACCTTAGCTGCAGTGTCAGCAAACTCATTTCCACATATACCAATATGGCTAGGTATCCAGAAAAACTGGATAGAAATGAAAGGTAGAGAAAAATGAGCCAGTCATTTTTAATATTGACATGAACAGGGTGAAAACTAATGCTAAGCAATACCAGAGAAGACAGCTAAGAGAGTTGGTGTAAATAGTACAGTCAGTGTACTGCTTAACTTCTACAAGATCCAAGAAAGAGAAATGTCATACAACTCAGCAGTGAACACAGAAACTGTAAAGGGGATCTTGTGAGCAACCACCGAGCCACAACAAAACATGGCAGAGCCCACTGAGTCATCTGGTTTTGAACCATCCATGAAAAGGGTAACAGAAGAATGGTTCAAAAGATGTTTAGCAAAGAGAAGACAGTACTTCCAATCAGGAGTATCTGCCTTTCTCAGGTGACTTAAGGAAATGTCACAGGTGGGGATGATAACGAGTCATGGAGGGATGGGCTGATCATCCAATATCATCCAATGATAGACCCAATTCAGCCAGCTATGCCTCGATACAAAGACCAAAAGGAAAAATGGCAAACCATCTATTTTGAAAGAGCACAGCTCACTGAGCAAGGAAGTCACGATCCCAGGTGGGATGCTGTGGTAAGGATCAAAACTTAGTAGCATATTGTAAAGAAAGGTGTAAATGGTGGAGGTGATAAGAAGGATCGTGGAACTCAGTGTTCAGACAGTAAACAGGGTCCATCATCTTCAATGCAGAGGGCCTGGCAGAACCATTGACCCATAATCCAGCTTGGATTGTATGAGGGCACATTAGATCTTGAGCATAAATCATCAATCTACTCCCTATGAGGTGGAAAAGAGGACATGGAGGATGTTCAGTGCCCTTGTACACTTGATACGAAGCTGTTTAAGATGAGAAATGAAAGTAAGCTTATGGTCAAAAATAAGTCCCCAGAATTTTGCCTCAGGAACCACAGGAAGAACACCACCACTGAGACGGAGCTCGGGATCAGGGTGTATACCCTGTTGGTAGCAAAAAAGAATGAAAACAGATAGAGAAGGTAAAAAAGTTTGCTGTGTCCACTTCAACAATTGAATGAAGCCAGTCTGAAGCTGCCACTCAATAAACCTCATGCTCGACAACCAACAAGAAATATGGAACAGTAGGTGGAAGTTTAGTGATAGCATTGATCTTGATACTGAAAAGGGTGACACTGAAGACACAATCTAAAGTGATTCTAAGTTCATGTGTAAAAGAACAGGAAATGTTCAAACCACACAGACTTGGAACCACCTGTAAAGTAAATATTTATTAATAAAAAAAGGGTAAACGGACACACAAGCCATACAAATGGAGGTCCTGCAAAATGCCAAACCTCCATGTAATGTCATAAGCCTTCTCATGATCAAAGAAGACAGAAATGCAATGTTCTCTCTTGAGTAAGGCTTCCCTGATCAAGGTTTCAACTCAAATCAGGTGGTCCACGACGGAGCACTGTCGATGGAACCCACATTGGGTGGCCGAGAGGAGGTTGTTTCATTCAAGGAACCAAATGAGACGAGCATTAACCATCATCTCCAAAACCTTAAAAACCATTTCATAATTAGAAGGATTTTGGGATTTTTCCCAGGCTTTGAAAAAGGTAGAACAATAGCCTTGTGCCACATATCAGGAAAAACATTCTCCTGCCACATCCAGTTAAAAACAACCAGAAGAAGAGCAAAAGAGGCAGGAGAGAGATGGTGCAGCATCTCATAGTGAATGTCATTGGGGCCAACCAATGTACTGCCAGACCGATGAAAAGAAAGCTTAAGTTCCACCAGTGTAAAAAAGCAATTATAGTCATAGAGACAATCTGTCCGAAATGAAAGAGGCGATCACTCTTCACGGAACTTGACGGCCAAGAAGGCAGGAGATAAAACAGAAGTGCTGGAGAGATAAAAAAAAAGCACTCCCTGAAAATATTGGCAATGTTCTGTACATCAGCAGCTTCCAGGCCATTGGAAAGAGGATGGGAAGCATACTTCCCAATGACCATCTGAATCTCACCAGCTGACTTTGAAACTGGTGGTAGAAGAAATGCTGGTTGTGAACTTAAGTGGTATACCTGCAAAAGGTATCCCAGGCCCATTTCTGAGCTTTTTCTGCCTGCTGGCAGACAGTAGATTACTATGGATGAGGATACCGCTACAACTTCCACCGTGGCACTCGGGTCGGGTGACATCAACCACGGCAAGTCTTCCTCAAAATGATGGGAAAATGATCACTGTTTCGTAGGTCACTGTCAACACTGAGAAAAAAGGTGAAGGGGAACAGATAGATCAATAGCAGTAAAAGACTAACCAGGTGCATGAAAATAGTTAAAAGCACCAGTATTGTGATATGAGAACATACACGCCACAGAACGACCCCTCTCATCAATATCAGCAACACTCCAGAGGGGATTGTGTCTTATTAACCCTGTCTCCCCAGGTACCCTTTACTGAGCATGACACAAGTGTCTTACATTAAAAATTTTATTAAAATACTTTTTGTTTATGACATACCAATTAGAATAGCATAAAATCTTAGCTCATAATCCATATCTTAATAGAATAAAGGTTTTAAGTTCTTAATTCTACAAGGAAATATATAAAAAATCCTGAATTTCCACTAGTGTGACCCACATGACACTGTTTTGTCTTAGCATGTCATCATCCCTATTTTATCCATCACCCCTTGAAAATGTACGAAATGTTCTAAAATCGTTATTGCTCAAACAAACAATTTTTAAAGCCTTCAATTTTGTTTGGTTATAGAGCTATGAAATAGAAAATCAAACCCCTCTTGCCACATCCACCTGTCACATCCTCTCTTTCACAATTTGTTGATAGTTCTCTCTCATGTTTAAATATATATTACCTATAACCAATAGAAAGCCAAGATTTTCCTCTTATCAAATTACGTATTGTATAATGTTGTTGTTCTGAACAGATAATTGTCAATTTCATTCAGAGTAGCAGCATTGTTCCTGTGGGAAAGTTAATGACTAGCTTGGATGATTTTTTTTATGGCTCTTGTCTCTTAGTTAGAAAGCCAGAAAAATTTTGAGAGGTAAGTGAATTTGTCTTCTTTTTGCATGTTATTAGTCTATATTCTTTGGTGCATTATTTGATTAAATAAAACTTATTTAATGCACTACTACCATTAATATCAAATATGTAGACTTAAGTATAATCGACAGTTGACAGCAAGAAAAAAGGAGATTGGGTAAGTAATTTATTTCTTGTTATGGATGTTTATTATTCATTTAATATTATGTAATATAAAATGTAAAAATAGGGTTAGGTGAGTTAAGATTAGATTAGGTAAAATAAATAATAATGATAATATAATAAAAATGTTTCACGAAGCATGCACATGAGCAGCACATAGGTAATGTAATTTGATAGCGTTATGTGAGCTGCACGTTCCCTGAGTGATTTATAACTTATAATGGTGTGGATAGTAGTTAGACACAGTTCAAAATTATAAATAGATGTATAATGTTATGAACTTAGAGCTACTTAGGATAACCGAATGTAGTTTCATGTTTTGAAGTCATTCTAGAAAGAAAAAAATGTTAATTTAGGTTTATTTCATTTTTTTTTTGGTGGTTACGAGGTCAGTCAAATTGACTGATCCCATTTTGCAATAGGGAAGAGAAAATAACATATAAACTGTAAGGATTTAGTGAAAAATAAAACATTTAAAATGCAATTAGAAGGTTTTATGGATTACACAAAGGAAATTTGAAATTTTTGAGATGAAAAATAGTTTTAATTTTAACATGAAAATTACTTTGCACACAGGCTATTCAAAACAAGTACTCAATATATTCATGGACAAATCTTTATTTTATTTTATTAAAAATACATCACTAAGAAATAAGACTTTTTTGTATGTGAAAGATTTGTAATATTAACTGAAAGACTGCAAATTTCGTGAAAATATACCCAATAATCGAGAGTTATAGGTATTAAATTTTTAAAGACTTTAAACAAGTACAAAAGGTCACGTGACTCGGTCAAATTGACAGACCCTGTGTTGAGTGAGTTAAATTCTCCCAGGATTAAAAAGGGAGATGGCAACTGTTCTACAAGAGCATCAAGATATGATGGATCACAAGTCTCTCCGATAGACAGAGAACAAACAATGATGGTACAACCCATGGAGATACAAACAGCTACAGCATCCAAGGGTGTATTGAGTGGCACAGACAAGGTGGGTATGTGCTGGTCAACCACCAGTGTCATACCTCCATGAACTTGTCCATCACAGTATCAGCAGGTTTCAGGAATGTTCCCTTTAAGGAGAGACACACGGGATATTAGGAATCAATCAAGGCCTTAACTCTCTAAACACGGAGTCAGTCAATTTGACTGACCATGTGACCTCTATGTATTCATTTAGACTTTATAGATTTAATACTTCTAACTTTCAATATAGTGTGTATCTTCACAAAATTCGGCAGTCTTTCAGATAACATTGTCTTTCACATACAAAAAATTATATTTTTTAGTAAAGTATTTTTAATAAACTAAAATAAAGATCTGTCCATGATTATATTGATTATTTGTTTTCAATAGTCTGTGTGCAAATTAATTTTCATGTTAAGATTAAAAATACTTTTCCTCATCTCAAAAAATCTCAAATTTCTAAATACGTTTTTTCCAAGCGAAACATTATATTTCATCTGTTATTTTCTCTACCAGGATTAGTCACGTAGGCTGACCTCGTGCACACCAAAAAAAAAAATCGAAATAAATCTAAATTACCTTTTTTTTCTTTCTAGATTAACTTCGAATTGTAACAAAAAACTACATTAGTTTATCCTTAGTAGCTTTAAGCTTGTAACAGTACACATCTATTTATAATTAAATGTTATTGTTTTACTGCCCTTTTGATTGCCCTTTGAAACATTTCTAACTACTATCTGCATCAAAATTAGTTGTAGATCACTCGGGGCAAGTGCAGCTCACATTATGCTTTCGAATTACATTATCTACGTGCTGCTCACGTGCATGCCTCGTGAAACATTTTTATTATATTATTATTATTTATTTTACCTAATCTAATCTTAACTCACCTAAAAAGATCCCTATTTTTACATTTTAGTTACTTTTATAATAACAAATAAATAATAAATATCAAAAACATGAAATAGCTTACTTACCTAATCTCCTTTTTTCTTGCTGTCAACTGTCGATTGTACTTAAGCCTACATATTTGATATTAATGGTAGTAGTGCATTAAATAAGTTTTATTTAATTAAATAATGCACCAAAGAATATAGACTAATAACATGCAAAAAGAAGACAAATTCACTTACCTCTCAAAATTTTTCTGGCTTTCCAACTATATGACAACAGCCGTTACAAATTCATCAAAGCTAGTCATTAACTTTTCCATGAGAATGAAGTTTGTACTCTGAGTGAAATTGATACGTATGAGGGGATGCACTACAATGCCAAACAAGGACACTGTAGCAACACCAGGGCTTTGTGAGCACTATACCCAAACACCAGGATCAGACACAATGTCCACAACACCCACCGAGAATTCCTAACACTGTTACTCAGTTGACGCTATCCTAACAGGACCAGCCGATTGTTCCTGGGGGACCCACCTCAAGGCCATCCGTCTATGGGAATTCAAGGCCACAATGGCATGTTGCAGTGTCCCAGACACCACTAAACCACCAGGATCCTCTCCTCCTCCCTTTCACAGGCACATCAAACATGTGGATGGATGTTCAGATCCCAGAGGAGGTAAACTGAAAATACAGAACCTTCCCTGGAAGGTCCCCTCACCACATACAGGAATACACCTTGGGGGGCTGGTGTTCAGACTGTAAGTTTTCTGGTATGATAACACATACCCACATTTATACAAATTTAAAACAATAAATGTTCTAATTAATTTTATTCATTGTTAAAGGTGCTGTATAAGTCATCACAGAATATGAAGATAACAAGTAAAATTGTGAACCAATTTTTTAATAATTTTATTCATTTTAGATCTGGAAGAAAAATTAATAATACCAAAATAAAACAACATAATACTAATAGCATACATCACAATATTGTATTTACAGTTCTAATTGTCCCAGAAATATCTAGTAATGTGACCTTTCAAGGACATCCTAATAAAAACAATCGATTTTCAAAATTTTCATTATTTGTGTGAACTCTCTGCTTAATATATATATTTTCAACATCAAAATAACCTTTTAGTTTCACTAAAAATATGATTAATTTCTTCTCTCTATGTTCTAAAAACAAAAGTTTCACCTTTAACCTTTTCAATTTGCATTAACATTTGGCAGACAAATACCTTGTGTCAGCTAAAAGAACTTTTTTTAAAAAAAGTGCTAAACATTATGGAGGGAAGACTAAAATTTTGTTCAAGAGAGTAGCATCAAAAAGAGTTCTTATTTCCCAAAAAGGTTATTTTCTTTATATTATATTTAACTTTATAATTCTGATACAAAACTTTAGTGTTAGGATATAAACAATTCATACAACAAACATACAAAATGGTAACTAAAGAATGAATGCAAAAAAAATTAATATCCAATATTATTATACTTTACTTACCATGTTTTTCTTTCCATACTTAAGTTCATTACCATATAACGGTATATGTTCAGCACTCTTTTACACATGTCTACCTGCAAGATATTACAACTGACCTTTCACTACTTCTTCCAAGAATTTTAACCTACTAACTAATGATTTTTCAAGTAATCATTCATTAGAAAATTTAATAATATGGAAGTTAAAAACAGTGCTAATAAGGCTAGTAGTAATGGATTTAATGAGCAGGTTCTATTAAGTCACACCTTTCTTTTAGCTTGTGCAGAGGATGATACAGAAGAGAGATGGATATCAAAAGGGACAAATAGAGACAGGAATGGAAAACATAAGGATTTTATTTTATACAAGATTTGTGAGTACAGCACATGGATAGGATAGTCTATGGTGTAAGCAGGAAGAAAAGAATTAGATTATGCTGTCCGGGGGCAGGAGGTGAAGGATACAACCAACAGAGTAAGTGATACAATAAAGAGTGCTAGTAGTGATGCAGTATTTGTAGTGCACATAGGTACCAATGATGTAAGGAAGAGTAAGCCAGAGGAGCATATTGTTAAGTACAAGGCATTAATAAAGACATTCAAAGCAAAAGACTATAACAACTTAATCCTGTAAGAATACTGCCAACACTTAATTGTGGAGATGAAATTATAAGTAGGTCACTAGGGCTGAATGCTAGGCTTACGTTAATATGTAAAGACAAGCAGGTTGGTGGTTGAATTTGCAGGATCAGTTCAATGGGAAAAGGGAGCTTCTTGGAATGGATGGTTTATATTTGAATAGGGTAGGACCTGCATTGTTTGCAAGAGCTATTAACTCAACTGTTAGGGCAACTTTAATCTAGGACTAAACAGTGAGAGGGGCAAAAGAATGACGAAAAAATAAGAAGAATACAGAAGTATAGTATGGGTACAAGGTGCATGATTAGTTTTAATAGTAGGTTAAGATGTTATTATTGTAATGCCAGAAGAACAAGAAATAAAAGTGTTGAGTTTAGAACACTGGTTGGAGTGGACATTTTGACACAAAGTATTAAAAAGAGCGAGAGGAGTGGCTTTATTATTTAAAATACAAGTTATATACTATTAAGGTTGAGGATATAAAGGTTAATAGCAATGAGGTTGAATCTGTTAATTTCAGGCATATAGAGTGGAAAATGGGCAGTCATGGGCAGACAGGTTTTTAGAAACTCTCCAGGATGGCTTTCTGCAACAATTTTTATTAACCTACTAGGAACAATGCTATTTTATATCTATTACTAACTTCTAATAAATAGTTGATAAGGAGGAGATTCAAGAACATCTAGGTGGAAATGATCACTGCTCAATTGGATTTGATTTTTGCTGCATATGGAGATAAGGAATCATGATATTTTGGTTCCAAATTTGAAAAAGCAAATTTTGAAGAGAAGAGACAAGAATTATCTGCTGTGAATTGGACTACTGAATGAGTTGAAGATACTGATCAAATATGGAAAAAAAATTTAAATAACTAAGATAGACATGTTCCAAATAGAAAAAAAAAAGGTGGCTGGAAGTAAAAATCCAGGTTGACTCATAAAGGATACAAAGAATAAAATTAACAAAAGGCTTTGTAAGTATAAGAAGTTTAAATTGAGTGCAATGATGGAAGACTTGCAGGATTATAAAAGATCAAGAGAGTTGGTCAAGTGGAAAATTAAAAAAAGTATATGAAAAATGACTGATCAAAAATGTTAAAATTAATAGTAAGGATTTCTTCAAATATATTAAGGGTAAATAATATGTCAGGGTGGGAGTAGGACTTTTCACAAATGATACAATAAAGTTAATATCTGATGATTGTGGGATTGCTAGGTTATTAACCCTTTAACAACAATGCACTTTTAAACTGCTTTCAGCGCATGTCAGTGAGTTAGATTCAAAATTTAATTAAACCACTTTACTATCAATGTATTTTGACTCTTTCACTATGAAGTCAGTCGACTCGAACAACCTCTTAGTCATTTTGTTCTCATTGTAGTTTACATGCTAAACTTTTAATACTTTTTGTATCTCCACTCTCCACAAAGGTTAGCAGATTTTAGTAAACATTACAGGTCTTTTGTACACAAATTCAGGTTTTTTAATGAAGCATTTTTACAAAAAATTTGTCTGCAAATATATATATATATATAGTATTTCTATATACTAATCCAACTGCTAAGTGATTTCTAAATTAAGATTAAAAATAATTTTCTTCATCTCACAAATCTGAAATTCCATTTGTGTAATCTCTAAAACCTCCTAAGTAAATTTCAAACATTTTTTTCAGTAACTTTATATTCCATATAAAATTATATTTGTTTATCCTAAATAGCTTTACACTCATAACAGTAGACATCTATTTATACTTAAATGTTGTTTTATTGCTTTTGGAACTATTTCTAACTACTATTTGTGCCATTATAAGTTGTAAATCACTTGACAAATGTGCAGATTAAGTTACACTATCAAATTATATTACACCCGAGCAGCTAGCAAGTGTACCACATGAAAAATTATATTTTTATTATTTATTTCATCTAATCTATCTTTAACTAACATAAAAAGTTTGCCACTTTGACATTTTAGTTACTTTTATTATAATGACTAAAAAATACACATGAAAAACAAAATGAAGTACCTGGGTCTTCTTTCTTTTAGTTGTCAACTTTCGATGACACTTAACCCTACCATTTTATACTAATGGTACAACTACACTAAATTTATTTAATTAAATAATGCCCCACAGAACACAGAATAATAATGTGCAAAAAGCAAACAATGTCCCATAACTATTACAATTATTCTGCAACAAGAGGTGTTAAAACTTTATCTATGCTCCTTGAACTGAAAGTGAAATTGACAATTCTCTTTACAGAAAACAATATATACATCATTTGATAGATTAAAACCTTGGCTTTCTATTGATTATAAATAAAATAGTCTTGAACGGCAGAGAGAACTATTGACAATTTCTGAAAGAGAGGATATGACAGGTGTGCATGGCAGGAGTTGTCTATTTCACGGCTCTGTAACCAAATAAGATTTCAGGATATAAAAATTATGCATTGTCTGAGTGATGACAATGTTATAATAAGTAATTTATGTCAAATTTCGTACTTTTTGAATAGGTGGGATGCCTAAAAAGCAATGTCACGATTCTCACGCTAGGGGGGGGAATTTACTTTTTTTTTTTTACTATTGCCTTATAAAAGTAAGAACTTAAAATTTATATAATATTAAAATATGGACAATTAGCTATGTTTTACACTATATTTATTGGTATTCCATGAAAAGAAAGTAGTTTAATTCAATTTTCAATGTAACTCATTAAAATTTCATGATATGTGCAGAAAAAAATGTCCGTGGTGAGAGTATTAATGAAATTATTATTATCAAGTACATTATAGTTCAAAGTTTTATATTATCTTAGTTTTCATTCTTTTATTTAAAAAAAAAAACACACCTTCTGTAGCTAACATTGAGCTTTAGAAGTTACATGTACTTTTAACATGTATGTGTTTATGGTCATTAGAAAGAACTCATTTTACACTATATTCCAACAATGGTTATTTTGAAATTGGTGCCAAGTTATCATCCTCAGGTAGATGTAACTGCCTGTACTATTATTGGCTGCTTTGATAATTATAGCACTTCAATTGTTTCTTACATAAATATATTATAGTTGGAGAAACATATTGTATTTAGGTTTTACTATTATATTTTAATTAATTATGTATTATTTGTGTTTTAAAATTCATATTTGAAAGGTTTAGTAATTTTTATAAAATAACCAAAGCTTCCCCTTGTTCTGTAAGGCTTACATTACCAAGGGTATATAAAAAGATTTTGCCAAAGGCTAAGGTATCTCTGCCATTCATATCGTTTTATCACTCACGTGTACCTGTTGACATGTGTCAACATAAATAACCAATAGTAAAGAATAGGAAAGGAATATAAAACATTAATATAAACTATAAGTGAAAAGGTAAAGACATGAAATTACATAAAGATATGTTGACACGTGTCAACATAAATAACCAATGGTAAAGAATAGGAAAGGAATATAAAACATTAATATAAACTATAAGTGAAAAGGTAAAGACATGAAATTACATAAAGATATTTTAAGATTATTCAAGGAAGATTTAAAAGGTATGTACATATTTCTATTTCTTAATTGCACTGTATGTGGGTGATAATAGCTAGAGTTAATGACACTGTAGAGAAAATGGAAAATAAACGCCTTCCTTAAAAAACTTTTAATATTCATTTAGGAGGTTCTATAGATTATGCAAGTGAAATGTGAAAACTGTAAGATAATAAACAGTATTTTTACACTCAAAATGAAAATCACCTTGCAGGTGAACTATTCAGAGTGAGAGTGCAAATAACTACATTAAATAATGAATTTTTATCAGAAACAGCAGAAAAAAAACAAAATAAAATATTTTTCTCAAACTACATACTATTATGAAAGTTCTCATCAAGTTTTAAATAATTTTATCCAATGATTTTATTACTGGAATAAAACTTAATGAGAGTTACATAACATGCTTCAGTCTGAAGCATTTTGTCATTATAGGGTTAAATTCTACTTTTTACCAATGAAGATTTAAACAATATTTCTCATTCTGAGGAGTTTATAGATGGAAAAAAGACTGAACAAAATTAAAAAGTTTAAAGAATGAAAAAGCTACTAGGCCAAATAATACTTTCCCGAGAATTTTTAAAGAGGTTAAGGATTGGATATATAAGCCACTTCCTAGTATTTTTTTTTTTCTAAGTTCTTGAAAAGTGGGCAGGTGGCAAAAGATTGGAAGTTGGCTAATGTTACTTCTCTTTTCAGAGGAGGCAATAAAAATTATCCCAGCAATTATAAGTCAAAATATCTTACATAAGTGGTGCTAAAAATTATTAAAAGTCTGATAAAAGATGAATTGCAAAGACATTTAAAAAAGTTTAAAATTTTGTTGAATAGGCAGCATAGTTTCACTCGAGGAAAATTTTGCTTTACTAATTTTTTGACATTCTATGAAGTAGCTACTGCTTATGTAAATGAGGGTACAAGTTTG